CGAAATCAAATTAAAAAGGACAAAACAGCTACTATATTTTTCCGCAATAAAAATTGTAATGTCGATTAAATACGAAAATCAATTAACAAAATTGTTGAAAGATGATCAACTACATTGTTTAAATTTTCATTACAATTACAATCACGTTTATACTGACGCAGATCTAATTAATTTCACTGAGAGATTTAATCTAAGTGTAATTTATTGTGTAAACGCAACATAAAGTCTCCTCGTGGGTGTAAAGACTGTTCTGTTCAACGATTTGGAAAACTAAAGCATTTAATCTATACGTTATAGGAGAATATGAAACAGGACTAATGTTTATAGAATACAGAAAATAATTTTCTCTACCTATCCTAGATAATTACGTCAGATATTATCAGTCATTTTACGTGTTTCGAGCACTAATCCGGCAACTAATTTCTCACTATAAGTACATCACTGTCAGAGTAATTGTTGTAATAGACCTATCGCTTTATAATTTTATAAACGAATTATCCTATTAAATAATTACTCTTGTTATTCCGTTTCATTGTTGAAATTTGTCAGGCAGACCTAACAAATATTACTTTATAAAATAAAAAAAGGAGCAAGTAAGACTTAAAATGATATCGTAATCATTATCTACATCAGTGTTTCGCGGAACACAGGAGTTCCGCAAACTTGCCCCAAGTGTTCTACGAGGAAAAAAATAAATGTTTTATGTTTTTATTACAAATTATTTACTTTATTCGTAGAGAATTCCATGCTTACTATTTTATTACTTTATTGTTTTGTGAGAATAGTTAACGTGTAATTGCTTATCGATTTTCGAATATATTGATGCTAATCGCGTAAAAAATGTATATGAATGACGTTACTCAGCTTCAGATAGATTGAGAAACATTGATTTATATAATCGATTATTATTATAATAATTTAAAACACATTTTTTACGTAGAACGGATAACAATTACGTAACCACAAAAGAACAAAATTTCATAGATTATTTATAAAATCCTCGTCATAGATGAATCCTCGCAACTGACGTGTTTATTAAAATTCTAAAATTTGCATATCTACGTGAATATTATAGTCACGGTTTACACACATATTTGCATAGCCACACATTGTTCTCTGTTCACTTCACACACAAATATATACTTCATTTCCACAAAACTTTTTCATATCTAAACGTCTTTTTTTCTGCTGCGGGCGTTGTTTAAAAATTCGGAGATTGCTGCTAAGAGACAAAACAGATATCTTTATATTTTTCTTAGAATTTGTTCAATTGAATAAGGTATCTCATTATGGCCCGCAAATCTAATATTATAGTCAAAATAATAGCCTAAACTTGGTGATCTATAATGGGGTCTCCACCTTACATAATTACCGGTATGTATAAATTTTATAACGTAGTTGCACTTAAATTGTTAAACAGAGAAATAATTTAAAACCTCTTACATTTAAAAATTAAATAAGTTTAAAAGCTTCTTTTGAAGGGAAGTGACTGCTATAAACTTTATAATCAGGTCAAGGGTACAGTGCCTTCAATTCCCCTGATATTATGCTGATTTTATATATAATAAATAGACTTGAAATTTATATTTTCTAACATTTATTATATTTACACCACATAATTTATTAACAATGATTATGTTAAATTTCAGTTATAGTAAATTCCATCAATAGACATGGTTTTTTTTCACTTGTCTCACTTTTTTTTAATGAAATCTCTTTCAGAATATTTACTATCTTCTATTAATTTTATTTAATTATGTTAATTAAATTCAAGTTCTTGATGAGTTTATCAGAAAGGAGAATAATTAACAATTGATGAGTAGATTATCAAACAAATGATTTCGAAAACATAACTAAGTGTTGTGTATTATAATTATTAAAATACTTTACATATATATATATATATTGTTATTATATTGTTATTATATATATATATATATA